CCTTAGGCCAGTCCTGCCAGTTTAAATAGCCATGTCTTGAGGGCGCGGCGGAAGGAGGGGAGATCCGGAATCACCCGGATCTCTGGGGGTAGTTCGTTCCATAGGGTGGGAGCTCCAACCGAGAAGGCCCTCCTCCTGGGGGTCGCCAGCCGGCACTGTCTGGCTGACGGCACCCTGAGGAGGCCCTCTCTGTGGGAGCATATCGGCCGGTGGGGGGTAATCTGAGGCAGAAGGCGGTCTCGGAGATAAGCAACAGTTAGTTTCCAACAGAGGTTTTGGGACTGCGTCATTTTAGGAATCTGATATTGTGGGGAAGGATATAGGAAGAAATTGATGGAGTTAGGTCTAGGAAGAATCTCTCTCTCCACTTATCCAGGCATATTTTTCAATATGGTGGTTGTTTACTTTCATGTCTTAAGTCCTATAGTAAAAAAAAACACAAAACCTTAAAGCACAAAAGCCCACTTTTACAGACATTGTATTGCTATGTTTACCAATTATAGTAAACTGAAAGGTGGAGCCAGACTTCTAGCAGTAAGACAGGAATTTCTTTTTCTTCCTTCTCCTCTGTACACCGATAACATCTGATTTTGAGAGGGAGCGATGAGACTACTAAGGGAATAAAATTGGCTTCTTCCCATTCTATCTGCATATACAATTTCTATTAATAGAACAATAAGCTAAATCTCACACAGATAAGATATCAAAGTAAGGGGGTGGGTGTCATGCGTTCGATTCCAGCAAACAGTCTTAATGATTGGGTGGTTATTGTTATGCCTTTGAATCAGGTTTTTTTTTTTTTAATCCTGGTGACTGCTTGGACTAATTCCTACAGTTTCTTGGCAATATTTTCAGAAGTAGTTTGAGCCTTCTTAAGGTTGAGAGAAAGAGAGTGAGTGGCTCATAGTCATAGCTGGCTTTGAGTCTAAGGCAGGATTAGAATTCACAATCTCCTGCTTTCTACTCTGATGCCTTAACCATTGCACCAAACTGTCTCATATCTTAATGATAGCATGTCCAAACACCACCCTGAAATTTCTCTATACCCTGGAAGTTTTATCAATCTCTTACCATTCTTATTGAGGAAATTGCGTCATAGGACAGCAAGCAAACTGTTTTGTCTGGATGAAAGGCATATGTCATTCCAGATGATTTATACTGATCCATTCTACAGATGCACATCCTTATGTTGTTGAACCAAATGGCTAACTATGGTTTGCTTTTGAAATATTTGAATTGAAACATTTTTGAATCCGTTGTCTTGTTCAGATCTATTGTTAGCAATGAATGGTAGTGTTGTAATTCAAGTTTTTCCATGTCATCCCATTTTATGGCATTGCTTATTCTGCATTTCAGATGAATTACAAAGCCAAACATGAGGCAGAAAAATCCAGATGTTCCATACCTCCAGATACTCCTTTGCTTCTCCAGTCCAGAGTCAATGCTTATAATATCAGTGATGTATGTATTATGGACAACTGTTCTTGTGTTCAATTTCATAATTAATAATAGTATTGCTACTATGTTAGTGACTATAATATCAGTGATGTAAAAGACAATAGATGATAGATAGATAGATAGATAGATAGATAGATAGATAGATAGATAATAGAGATAGAAGTAGTGATAGAGATAGATAGATAGATAGATAGATAGATAGATAGTTGATAGAGATAGAGATAGAAGTAGAGACAGAGATAGAAGTAGAGATAGAGACAGACAGACAAACAGACAAACAGACAGACAGACTGATTGATTGATTGATTGATTGATGGTTTAGACCAGGGCTTTTCAACCAGTGGTACGGGTACCACCTGTGGTACATTGGCACCTGGCAGGTGGTACGCGACCATCCTAGAAAAGTTGAGGACTACCTGTACGTCATCACTTTTTTCCTTTTTTGGGGGGGGGGGTCATCAAGTTTTTGACACCTTGCTAGGCGACTGGTGGTACTCAGATATTGCCATATCCTAAAAGTGGTACAATGGGTGAAAAGGTTGAAAAGCCCTGGTTTAGACTAGCTACATTCTGAAAGAGGCAAATGTAAACGAAGAAAGCCCAAAAGCATGGGAGAAAGGGAAAGACACAAATCTAGTGTTTATTTAGAAATAACTTTTTAAAAATTGAAAGCAAGAGGAAGTAACAATGGGTACTTCCAGATGTGGCTACTATGGTGTAGCTACTCTCCCATATTTACAGAATTCAATAGATGAGCAGAGGTTTTCATCTTCTATTTATCATTGTTGTAGTTCCTCCTTCCTAATCCCACTGCTTGTTTCTTTTTTTTATTTACCATGAAAAATCCCCTAAGGAAGGAAGGTGGCATACCTGGACAATATCTTTGACTTATTTGCACTAGAGACCTTGCATCTGGATGGCATCTTAGGGAGAATTATTATAAGATAGTAAGGAAAAGAAGAAATCCCTAAAAGGGAAAAATTAAATGACTTAATGGGAGAGAGAGAGAAGCAGGCAAAAGAAATGGAGGCATGCTGGTTAAGAAAAGGCTGGATGGGGAAGTGACTGAAAGGTGGAATGACAGAAACAAAAGATTCAGTAGAGATAAAGAAAGGAAATAGTATAGCATGAAGCAAAGGAAAGAGAGAGATAAAGAGAAATGGGTATCAATAGATAACAAACAAGAGGAACAGTGTGTGGATAACTCAACACTGATAATGGAATCAAATTTTGGATACAACTACCCGGTGCTTTTTTTGTAGAAAAAAAGGTGCCGGAACTCACACACATTATACAACCCGCCTTGTCTACCCTACAAGGTTCCATCCAAAAAAGGTGCCAGAACTCCATTCTGGGTGTTCTATGACAAAAAAAGCCCTGCAACTACCACTGAATTAATATATGATCTCTAAAAAACCAAGAAGGATCTAGTCATTTCATGAAATCAACACAGAGATGAATCCAGTATTTTTTATTCTTAGAGTTGTGTATATATAACTTATATAGTTATATATAGTTATACATGTTATAAACCAGTTTTTCGAAGCCTGCACAGATTTCAACGCATCAAGTTGTTAATGATTTGAATATGCCAGATTGTTGTGATTTTATATATTTCCTACAGTAACTGGCTGCATTGATTTTTCATGTCACACTTTCCTTATGTTTTCTTATCATGCTCATTTGGTTAGAACTGGTACAAGTATGACTGGGATCAATCCAAAGCAAAGAAGTTTGATATCAAAATGGATGCCATCCCAATTCTGGCTGCCAAAGCGAAACAAAAAATTGCGAGTGATGTAAGTGTTACACAGAATAAAAAAAGGCAATTCTAGGCTTTCCATTTTTATATAAATTTATAGCATATGAAACTATGTTATTTTCTTTTCCCATGTAGGTTGAGTACAAGAAGGGCTATGAAATGAGCAAAGGGAGGCTTATTGGAGCCTTAAGCGTTGAGGATGATCCTAGGATCTTGCACTCACTGAAAGTAGGCAAGCTGCAAAGTGATGTAAGTAACCCCTATGAATAAAATTGTGAAAACAGGAAGTGTGGTAGGCATACAACATTTTTCTTGGGTTCCAGGAGCTTACAAGCAAGGAGACAAGGGAGTATGGAATAACAAGTCCTAAACATTTTTTTAAAATATTACAATCTTGGCTCTGTATTTAATTTTAAATGAATATATTATTTCTCAGGATAACCAACAGTTCAATAGCAAAACTTTCTAAATGGGAGACAACATCATGCATATAAGAAATATTTTCTAAATCCCTGTTGCATGATTACTTCTACTTTTCCACTCTTGCAGAGATTATATAAGGAACCGTATGAAAAAGCAAAAGGAGTAAGCATTAACTATTGTGAGACTCCACAGTACCAGGTCGACAACACTCTTAAGAACTTCAGTGGGGTAAGTGTGGTGGAGATTTCTCCTTTGCTTCTGCTCCAGACATAGTCTTGCATGCTTTGCTACAACATGTGACTGTGTCACTCCACAGGTGAAATACAAAGAGCCTTACATAGCCAATGTCTTGGGCCGGTACATAGGCACCTTTGAGGACCCCTATGAAGCCCATTGCATGAAAGTTGGAGCTATGAAGAGTGACGTGAGTATGAATGGTACCTATTTTCCTCTTTTTTCCCCTTTCTTGTTCAGTTCATGGTGCTTATTGAACTCTGGTGTTTTCTCTAGAAAAACTATAAAGCAGACTATGAAGACGAAAAGGCTAAATGCTATTTCCCTCAAACCATAACTCAAGAATATGAAGCCATGAAGAAGCTGGACGTGTGCAAAGATGTAAGTCATTGCACTAGTGAGGTCATATTTTTTTACGTGCTTCAGAACTGAAAAAGAAAAGTGTCTCAGTGGTATATTATTTCATAAAATTCTTAAACCAATAAATAAAATAGAAGATATTACATGATCCAAAAATATCTGAAGTGGTGTTGGTGGTACAAGAACTGAATTCAAACATCATACGGCAAATACTGTCAAAATAAATGCTGCCTTCTCCAACTGTACTTTTGCTGAATGAACGATGATAACACAAGGGATCTTCATAAAATGTGCCATCAATGATAAAAGCATAAACTTGATGTCTACCAAAAACTAATTGCCACTGAATTTTAAAAAACATTTTCTCCCTAGTCTGCCTACAAAAAGCATCCTGACCAGATCAAGTTTACTTCAGTGCCGGATTCTCTGGTTTTGCGACAAGCACAGATTAATACCAAGCAGCTGAGTGACGTAAGGCTTTGCATGGTCTTTTATTTTCTGCTAAGTTGTCTGACAAACAGCACAGCATTATTTGGGACTTGCAGGTACTTAACATTGCAATAATGTTAAGTGATTGCTAGGAATTGTCAGGAACTGCTGGTTGATGCTTAACTAGATTCAGATTTTACGAAATGAAAGTGATCATTTTTGATTGCTGGCCCACTGAAAGCCAAAGACGTTCTTCATTTGATGGTGCCATGAAACTCTTTTCCTCTGTTGTGTGGATACTATCGTAGTGGAAGTATGCTGCTGACACTAGATACATGTGTGGCACGCTGTTGAGAAATTATCTACCTGTCTTATGAACAGTGTGTTTGCATGAATTTGTTTGTAGCAATCCCCACACAGTTGCTCTTTAAGTCCTCGTTAACTCATTCTGCCTTTCAGTTAGCGGGGTTAGAAAAAAATCTGTAGCTATAGTTGGTCTCTAGGAGAAGGAATTCATCCCACAGTGATGAGCAGTGTGTGTTAGTAATTTATATACCACTATGTGTTCATTCTATACTTCAGATGAATTACAAAGCCAAACATGAGGCTGAAAAGTTCAGATGTTCCATACCTGCAGATGCTCCTTTGTTTCTTCAGTCCAGAGTCAATGCTTACAACATCAGTGATGTAAGTATAAGACTTGCATATGATAGTTTTGCAGTTAGAGTTTTGACTTAATTACATAAAATATTAAATATTGCTATTACTACTAGGATAATAAAGCATGAATCAAACACATAGCAGTGTGATGTCAAGCAGGTAAGCAGGGTGTAAGACTAGATGGATGCCTTTCGAAGACCCCGGGGCATCTTTTATAATCCATAGTCAGTACGAGCAAGGCCATTAAAATGAAAAAGAGAATTAACTTAATTTTAGAACAAAAGTGAAAGGAGTTCAAAACATATTGATTCTTGGGGAGGAAGAATGAAGCATGTCAAATGCTTATGACACAAGAAGAAAGGTGAGAAAGAAAACAAAACAACAAATATTTAGAAAAGACTAGAGGGTCAGGAAAAAGGCAGGAATGATAGGGAAAGAGGCTAATCAAGTTCTGCATAACTTAACACAACCTGGAAAAGTAGAGCTAAAAGCTGTTGTTGAAAATATTATGGGATGGTGTGCGATTAAGCAGGCATACCTCCAATTATGTGATACATCACAGTTTGGTATCCAGGCAAGGATCAGACGACGATAAAGAATTTGATTAGGTGAATGCATTCTGCCTTTAAGTACGGAAAAGGATAGATTGGTTACATCACATATTTGCACATTGTATATTGTTCATCTCATAAGAGGCTTTTTAACGAGTTTCAAATTTTAAAAAGTGGTAATATTTTTAATAGTACTTTATGGTAGCATAGAGAAACATTAGAATGTATATTTCAGTTGCTTAGAAATGTTTGCTCTTAACTTGAAGAATGCTTTCACGCTGTCAATCAACCTGAGGTATGGTTATAGATAAAAGCATCTTCTACTACCAGTGTATGTATTTTGAGGCTTATCCTCTTGATTCCTAGTTCAGGTTGACCCACTTTATTTTCTTCTTCTCTCCTGGTTAGAATTGGTACAAGTATGACTGGGATCAATCGAAAGCAAAGAAGTTTGATATCAAAATGGATGCTATCCCGATTCTGGCTGCTAAAGCAAAACAAAAAATTGCAAGCGATGTAAGTACGGCACAGAGTAATAACACATAGCTTTCAATTTGCATTGAAAGTTTTTTTTTTTTTTAAGAATAATTTTAACTGCACAACTTTAAATATTGGTTTAATTTGGTTTTATCTGGTGGGGGTTGTAAACATGTCTATGTTTTTAAATATGTTGTGAGCCGCCCTGAGTCCCGTTGGGAGAAGGGCGGGATATAAATCAAAACAAACAAACAAATAAATAAATAAATAAATAAATAAATTGTAGCCTATAAAAATATTTTATTCCAATATCCCCCTGTAGGTTGAGTACAAGAAAGGCTACGAAAAGGGCAAAGGGAAGCTTATTGGAGCCTTGAGCGTCCAGGATGATCCCAAGATCTTACATTCTCTGAAAGTGGGCAAACTGCAAAATGAGGTAAGTAAGCCCAAAATACGGTAGAGTGAAAATGGAATGCGTGACATGTTAAAATCTTTGTGACGATGTAGCACAACCTTTTTTTTTTTGACTCCCTGTATTCTAGAGCTATAAAAACAAAAAAAATTAGTAGGGAAATAAAAATTCTCAACTCATTTTTTGAAATTATAATCTGCATATAATACTATTTTAACAGTAGCCAGTAAAGAAAACACATACCATATGCACCTGCAGTATTTTGTTCATGTTTTTATGACTATCAAATTTGAGAACTTCCAAGTTTAATAATATATATTTATATAATGCCTAATTATCCTAATTTATTCAGAGTCAAATTAAGTAGTCAGCTGCCTAATGAAAAAGTGTTTCAACTAAAATAATCATGAACATCAATAGTTTAAATCACGAATGAACTGGGCGGCATAAGTGACCTGCCGGTGCGTGCGGTCCCACTCACACAAGCCTCATTGCAGGTGCTTGTGACCCCACTCGTGCGAGCTTCACCGCAGACATCATGGGTGCTAGCACACTGTCATAAAATTGAGTTCAAGCCACTCAAAGTGAAGTTTTCCAATAATTCTTTTATTCTTGTATTATTCGGACAAAAAGCAAGACAAGTGTGCAATTAAACTTAATTAGTTCCTTTATATTTGTACATATACTTGTCTAATTTCAAAGTTTTCTTACTACAATAAGTTATGCCCAACAAGGCTATTCAGGTTACTATGTCCAACAAGGCTACTCGGATAACTGTGCCCAACAAGGCTACTCAAGTTGCTATAAATATTGCTGCTCAACTAAGCTACGCATTTACACAATACTCACATACACTCTCAACACAGGTGATCAAGCTGTGTTAGAGTGGGCTGGGAAGCAGACTTAGAGCATCCCCTGCTCCAACAAGGGTCATCTCAAACTTTGGGGCATGGGTTCATTCCAGTCTTCTCTTTATACCCAACTAGTTTACTCAGAATCCATGTGTATGATACATCTTGCCCCAGTCATGTCAGGAACTTTACATTTTTGCTTTCTGTTCCAAGACTCCATGAAAAGTGCAATCCACTACACTCTTTATATCCACTAATGTTCTACCTGGTATCACGCACAATAAAGCATGCATACACGCACTCAGAATCTTTCCTTATCAGTAGTACACACATTCTAGCAATGTGAGTTACCCAGTGAGTTCATGAAAAGGTTAATTAGGGTTGTATTACAGGCCCCCTAAATCCATAACTTATATCATATTTGTGATATATTCATAACATATAACATAAAATATGTAACAATGCATGCATACACACACACATGCGCCTGCCCCTCCCACAAAACCATCCCCTCTTCCCCCCCCTTCCTCCCGCTCTGGGCTGCCAACCTGGAAAGGTTGGAGAATTCTGAACTAAATGGAATATCCATATTAGAAAGCTGTTTATATGGAACATTATTAATAGCCATTATTAATTGATATGAAGTATACTGGCTATTTCGTTTATAAACTGATTTGGATTTCCCATAAACACCTGCCGTGCTACTCTTGGAGAGAAAACTTTTGCTAATCTATCTCCTGGAATTAAGCCAGGAAGATAGTTCTTATGTGCCCATTCTAATTATGAATTCATAAAGTACATTTGAATGAAATCTTTTGGTATGCATTGTGATGCATATTTTCAGGACGGAAAGGAAACAGAACTGTGTAAGTGGGGGTGAGGCGTACTCAAAAGGAAAGTTATTTTCCACATGGCTTTCTATAACCCGTTCTCCTTTCTTTTTCATTCTTGCAGAGACTATATAAGGAACCGTACGAAAAAGCGAAAGGAGTAAGCATTAACTATTGTGAGACTCCACAGTACCAGGTCGACAACACTCTTAAGAACTTCAGTGGGGTACGTTTGGTGGACATTTCTCCTTGGTTCTGCTCCATAGTCTTGCTTGCTTTGCTACAACATGTAATTGTGTTGCTCCACAGGTGAAATACAAAGAGCCTTACATAGCCAATGTCTTGGGCCGGTATATAGGCACATTTGAGGACCCCTATGAAGCCCATTGCATGAAAGTTGGAGCCATGAAGAGCGACGTGAGTATGAATGGTACCTATTTTCCTCTTTTCCCCCCTTTCTTGTTCAGTTCATGGTGCTTATTGAACTCTGGTGTTTTTTCTAGAAAAACTATAAAGCAGACTATGAAGACGATAAAGCTAAATGCTATTTCCCTCAAACCATAACTCAAGAATATGAAGCCATGAAGAAGCTGGACGTGTGCAAAGATGTAAGTCATGGTCCTAGTGAGATCGCTTTTTTTTATGTGTTTGAGAACTGAAAAAGAAAAGAATCTCAGTGGTGTATTACATCTTGATATTCTTAAAGTAATAAATGAAATAAAAGGTACATGAAAATATTTGAAGCATCATTGGTGGTACAAGAACTGCATTTAAACATCATAGAGTAAATACTTTCAATATAAATGCAGCCTTCTCCATCTATATTTTTGCTGAATGGATGCATGGATGATAGTAGCAGAGCAGAATGTTTTAAAACATATCATGAAGTAGAAAAACCTAAATTTGATGTCTGCTGAAAAGTAATCGCTGCTCAGTTTTGTTTTGTTCTTTTCCTAGTCTGCCTACAAAAAGCATCCTGACCAGATCAAGTTTACTTCAGTGCCGGATTCTCTGGTTTTGCGACAAGCACAGATTAATACCAAGCAGCTGAGTGATGTAAGCAACCAGAAAATGGACAGGACCTGGCTTTGCATGATCTTACGTCTCCTGCTAAATTGTCTGACAGACAGCCTAGCGTAGTGATGGCGAACCTTTTAGAGACCGAGTGCCCAAACTTCAACCCAAAACCCACTTATGTATTGCTGGGTGCTGGGAGGGCATGGCCCGCTGGGTGGGCGTGGCTACAGTGGTCATGGCAGATGGGTGGGGATGGCCAGGGTCGACGTGGCCAGCCCGATGTTGCTCGTGGGGAGGGACGAGTGTGGAGGCAGGGTTGGGGGAGATCCAGGGGTCTCTGGCGGGTGGGGCGGTGGGCAGGAGGCTGGTTCTGTGGGATGAGGCGAGGCGGGGATGCCATGTCGCAGGGCAAGGCGAGGCAGGGGCCAGAGTGGCTGCTGCCTGACACCATTGGCCCCCGCACACAGAGGCCAGCAAGTGCATGGGTGCTGGGGTGCATCCAGCCACGTGGGACCTCGGCGAGTTAGCGGGCAGCTGGTTGAAGAGGACGGTTGCCATCTCCGGGGCATGGCGCACGTGCCCACTGAGAGGGCTCCGAGTGCCGCCTCTGGCATGCGTGCCATAGGTTCGCTGCCACTGGCCTAGCGTTTGCTGGGGCTTGCAGATTCTTTCCATTACAATAACATGGGTCTCTATTTGGAAAGTGAGATTTTTGTGGCAATTCTTTTGAAAACAAATTGAAGCAGTTGCTTAGAATGTGACAGGCTTCATACCTGAGCATGGCAGTGCATCTCAGTTTTCCAGAAGTTTATTCATGTATGTACTTATTTAGCAGTACATTCTCAGACAAGAATCAGATAGATTAGGTTCTCTGTTGCAGACAAAAATTAAGCCCTGGGAGGCAGGCATTGCCCTTCTCAGTTCCAAATGGTCAATGCCTTTTTTATTTATTTATTTATTTATATTTGAATTTATATCCCGCCCTTCTCCCGTAGGACTCAGGGCGGCTGACAATCTATTTAAAATACATACAAGACAATACAAATTTAAAATTAATTAAAAAGAATATTAAATATTTGTCGAATTAAAATATAATTAAAACCCCCCTAAAAATTACCCTAGGCCAGTCCTGCAAG